GCCAATGTTGTACTTTTTACTCCACTACATGTATTTGACAGCTTTTTACTGCAGTAGTTACTTTGCAGATTTGTGTTATTATTACAAAAAAAGTAACCAAGTAGTAAATTATGATGTATTAGTATAGATTACACCACCTAGCAGTATGTAAAGTTATTAAAATTAGCCCCCACCTTTACCAGCTTCACTTAACTGTTTTAGAAATTAAAGATTTTAACAAATGAAAAATACACTTGCAGCTTCCTTCATGAATTTGTAACTTAATTGTGTGACAAATTTACTATTTGGGCAATTTGTTATACTTTGAAATGTATGCTTTTACACGTCTAAAAAAAATTTTCTACATTTTAAACGTACAGCAGTGACCTCATTTGTGTGCACATACATTTTGCACGGGGGCATTGTCACAAACAGGAAAGGGCCTGCCCCAAACGGTTGTCACACGGTTAGAAGACCACTTAAACACCAGAACGCTAAAGGTTTTTTGTCAGTGGAACTTAGAAACTGAACCCAAACCCCTCTGTTTTAACTATAATGATTGTGCATTTCTTTGTAAATAATTTTTTCTGAAATTTTTTGTTTGAAAGATTACAGAGAAAATTGTGTAAATTTTAAATCCTGGTCACAAAAACGATTTCGGTCATGGTCTTCCCATTCCTCTGGTCTCTGCCATGAGTCGGTCTTATTTAATACACAGCGCACAGGAGCAGAAGAAAAAGACAGTGCACCAGATTTAGACTTCTATCATGGCCAGGAAGCTGTTCAGCCTAAAGTTCAACATCGCTTTAATTCTTTGGTGTCAGAGAGGAAGACAGAAAGAGCGAGCGAGCCAGAGTTTATGGACAGAGGTGTGTTTGGACATAGAAGGCAGTGAGGCTGCAGCAGACCAAAGCCAGCAGGTCATCAGCTCCCAGCCAGACGGCCTGACAATCAAACTCAGGAATGAGACACGGATGCCAGGCTGTGACTGTCTGTTTGCGTATGTGTGTGCGTATTTATAGCGGACAGACCGAGAGTGGAAGACGTACTGAACCTCTTTATACTTAAGTAAAAGTAGTAATGCCTCAGTGGAAAAATACTCTGTTACTCTGCGTTCACTTCTTAAAGGCCCTTCTTAGAAGTTACAACAGATATTTCACATCAGAGATTTCTGCGGAAAAGTTGATGCCACATATTTCTGTTGCTAAAGAAGGATTTAGCAGTGTCTGAAGTCAAATGTGACAACAGTTTTTTGATTATTCATGTTGCCAGGCCGCTGGCATGTGTTCCTGATCACACCACACACACACACACACACACACACACACACACACACACACACACACCTGATGCAGCAGATTAGCTGAGTTTTAACCTCTTAATGATTAACAGCTTAGGGTGTTTTCTTTCCAACTTTAACTATAATTGTTGTGCACTCACTGTAATAATGAATATTTAATGTTATAGAGAATATCAGCAGCTTTAAAGTTAAAGAAATATGCAAATGTGTGGAAATTAGAAAGCAGTCGGGGTCAGTTGATGTACACCGATTAACTTTACGACCACCTGCTGGTCATAATTGTAGGTCTCACATTTGCCGCCCCAAAACAGCCCTGACCAGTCGAAGCCCTGACTCCACTGTGTGTGCGCTGTGTGTTTTGACCAGCATCAACGTTTTCCGCAGTCTGACCTACAACTAATGCGTCTGTTGGATCGGATCACGCGGGCCAGCCTTCGCTCTCCCCCTGTCAGGGGTCATAATGTTATGGCTGATCGGTGTACATTGACATGAAAATCCCCAAATCTGAAGATTGATGGATTTTTGTAAACCTTGTGAGAAGGAAGGAAAGACTAAAGCAGGATAGAACAGAGGGAACAAATGAAACAGATAAAAGGAAGAAACAAGGCAAGAGTTATAAAACAAAAACAAAGGAAAGACAAAATGTGAGAAGGAAAAGCAGAGACAACGAAGGACAAGACAAAGGATGAAAAAAGAAATATGGAAAGAAGGACAGAGAGGAGAAAGTCTCCAGAAATAGAAATATTTAAGTAAAGTGTCTCGAGATGATGTAAGTACAGCAGCTGCAGAAGTGGATGTACAGCACTTTCAACTTCACTGTTTGTGTGTGAGTGCTCTTTGACATCGATCTTTATGAGGACCAGTTAAGAGTTTGTACCTTGCGAGTCACGATATCATTGCAAAGAGAGACATTTTGGCTGGTCCTGTTGTTTGAGGATAAAAATTTGGGGTTAAAGTTAGAATTAGTTTTAGATTAAAGGTGACCTATTGTGTCAAATCTATAATGTCACGCTGTCGGATGTTCATGTTAAACATGGCCAAAGCTTCAAATAATGGTAAATATATTTAAAATAAGGAGACAGTTCTCCAGGGTCAGTTGCACGCAGCTCTATCCTCCTGGCAACCGCTACGCTCAGTCTGTCTATACCGCTCAGCGCGACACGCCGGCCTTTTGAAGTAGAATTTAAAGTTGTTCAATATGTCGCCAAGAAAGTGCTGCGTCAAACAAGATTGGTTATAGGCAGTATAAGATAGAAAATATAGAACTATAATATAAGGCTGGAAATGCAGCATTATAGGTCCCCTTTAAGGTAACAGCTGCGGTTTGTAGAGGTTTGATTTTATTGTCAAGGTTAAGAATGGAGTTAGCTGCCGGGGGCATGCATGATGTTAATGAGGCTCCTCGCATATATAGAAGTACAAATGTGCTTGTTTAGAAATGAACATGTCAATGTGTAATAAGAGACTGTCCTCACCAGAAAAACGACGTGTTAGGGACCAAGCAGTCAGGCGGGAGGAGTCACGAGAGAATTTTTATTTTCCCAAAAAATTTATGACAAGGTTTGGGCCTGTAAAAAAAAAAAAAAGGTCAAATAAACAGAACATAACTTAAGCTTTGAACATAAGAAACTCAAAAATACAACTGACCTACTACAAGAGAAACAAAGGGGGCTTTATACTGGCTGATCAGACCAATTTTGACACACAGGGGGAGACTAACAACAACAACACTACTACATAAACTACAAATAACAGCAAAACCAACTAAAAACTTATTCCAAAAGAAATGTAATCTTATTTAACATTAACTAAACAACAATACTTCATATAATATAATCTAAACCCAAAGTATCTCGGGAGAGAATGAAGCTACCCCCCCGGACATAACAAGCAGTGGTGGTGTCAGTTAGGCCACCTCCCCTATAAAGCCGCCCCTGCTCCAGCCGCCGTCCCTTTAAGCCAGCAGCAACGTTAACCACTTACTTAACGTTGGTATGCATAGTTTTGGGAGGCATGCACAATGTTGACACATGCAAATGTTTCCATGCGAGTGTATTTAAATGTGGTTAACAGTAGGTGAAAAGGTTTACAGTTGGTGTACATTAATGTGCGCGTGCTCATGCACGGTCTAAATATATTTACTGAGAGAGTGCGTGAGTGTGTGAATGTCCAGTTAATCGCCAGATGGTGTGTCAGACGGGGGGAATGTTGTTTATAGATGACGAGAGAGCGATGAACACCAGGCACCGACACACACACACACACAGAAATAGAGCAGTAATACACAACTCTAAAGTCCAGATCCATCTCTGTGTGTCGGCCTGAAGAGTTTATGGAGAGTTTGTGCTGTTTTGACATAGACCAGACTCATCCTGAATCCTGCTCTTATTGTAAAAGAGCGTCTCCACTCTTAAAAACCAGAAGCTCAATGAGTGCTGCTGTCTCGTCCTTCAGTCTCCTCGCTGTTGGGCGGTGTGGGAAAATGTGCCTGGACTTATGTGTGCTGTTTTAAAGGTAAAAGGAGGTTTTCAGGTACACTGAGAATACTTGTTTCTGATTGGCCACGGGGTTTTTATTATTCCCTCCTCTTCAGCTCTCGAAATGACCACACAAGGCTCCTCCTGATCTCTTCAGTTACCAGGCTGCAGCTTTGTTTGCTTGTTGGAGAAGTAAACAATAATTGTTCACACAGCCATTTTATTTGTTTAATGTGTAGATTAACAAAACAGAGAGCAGCGCCTCCAAGTGGCTTCAACCGACTGCCTTTACTGAAGTTTTCTACTTTTACTCCATGACATCTATTTGACAGCTTCAGTCACCAGTTACTAGTTAATAGAAATCAACTATTAAATTACGATATATATTATTGTATTAGCTCCACCTTATCCAGCTGCACCATTAAACTGATGAACACATTAATGCATCTCTAATAATAATCCGGTAATATAATATATGCTGTTCTAAAATGGTCCATAATGAGTTTGTTTACTTTTGGTACTTTAATTTTGTGCCTATACTAACAGACTTTTACTTAAGTAATGCAGGAGTTTTATTGTAACAGAATATTTTTACACTGTTATTACCTCCTTTACTAAAGTAAAGTTTGAGGTACTTATTCTACCACTGCCTACAGTGTGTAGCTGTCATGTTAAGACCAGTTTAATCTGGAAAAAAGAGTTTGTTTACTTTTAATTTTAAAAATTGAAGCTTGGGTTCTGTCCAAACACACTCCCAGGTTCGTTCATGAATTTGCGACTTAATTGATTGACACATTCACTATTTGAGCAGTTAGGTAAACATAGAAATGTGTACATTTACATTAAAATAAACATTTTTATATAAGTTTAGTTTATTGTGATGCTGAGCAAGTTTGAATGCTAGTAGTCTCTATTATTCTTTTATGACCTGTATATCTTGTTTATTTCATAATTTTTATATAGGTTTATGTCTAATAAAGCTGTTTCTGATTCTGATGCAGGTCTTTCACTTGTAACAGAAGAGTTTTACACTTTAGTGTTGTTTTTACAGAAATTAAAGAGCTGACTACACAACAGGAAAATATTGTTTGATTTGTATTTAAAGTGCTATTTGTATGTAATAAGATAGATTAATATAAAATTAAATCAAAGAATGCAATTAAAATGGCGAGCTTTGACTGTTAAGGAGCCTTTCAAGCCTTAGCTTTTCCTTTAACATTTATTTTCTGTGTTTGTGTGTCCAGCTGGTCTTCTACAAAGTGGTGAAGATACTGTCCACTCTGGGCCACAGCCTGACCCTCATCTCTCTGCTCACCAGCACCATCGTCATCTGTTTGTTCAGGTAGACACACGTACGCCACACACACCGCCCGCCATTCACACGACCACGCCGGTTAAACAAGTGAGACAAGGTGTTCAAACTGAGATTCTTTTCGCAGATGCTCGGTGCATCTTCAGGTATCTCAGATAAATAAATACAGTTTGTGTGCACACAGACAGACGCACCTTTTTCAAATAACCCAGAGCGAAGGCACTGTGTTCTAACAAATTAGGTAAAGGTTAATGTCCTTTGTTTATGCCTTTATAGAACCGATCGTTTGTTTACAATAACTTCCTGGTAGAAAATATACAATTTAATTGCAGCGACATGATGAATGTTTTCTTTTTTCATGATGTTATTTCAAAGTGTTTACATCTCATTCATCTAAAATGCATGTTGTATGCTTTCATATAATATTAATAACAACACTTTCACTTAAATGAATTTGGAGACCTAATTTTCCTAAATGAAAGCTTGAGCTTATCCAAAACTAGATCATGCTTTTGGGTGGATTTGATTTATCAGAGACGTTAGCAAAGCAACATAGTAAATACGTCAGATAGGTCGGATCACTGTGTTTAAATGTTGCAGTTAGGCTCAATCCCCACCTCCCCCAATCTGCATGTCTAAGTATCCTTGAGCAAACCCTAGGAGCCCCAAATCTCTGTGTGGATATGTATGAATGTTCGGCTGTGGATCACTTTCTGTCTGTAATATAAATGTATACTCAAAATATTTTTATTGCGGTATAAATAGCTATATTTTCATATCTAGCTGTGAAAAATGAACACTGTCTTAAGTCTGAAAACTAATAATAATAATAATAATAATCTGTTGAATGGATGTGTTCAGTGCTCCATGGTTGCTCCACAGTCTGCAGAATAAGAGGTATGTCATTATAAGATGTGATGATTCTGTCTGGGAAAGAGAGTTTCAAGAGCATCGATGTCAAGGTTGCATCAAGAATGGTTTCAAGATCTGCTCGTTTTAAACATCCCTCACACGTAAGACATCAAAAATGACCAATTATCATTTAGTTAACTATAACTCATCTGGCAGAAACAGTATCTTAAGCTCACATGTGTTTCTCCCCCATGTGAAGTAAATTAATTAAAGTTTTTTTTTTTCTATGCAAACACAGATAATTAAGGTTATTTTAATAGAAATGTATGATGATGGTCGACAGTTTAGAGTCGTCTCCCACATTTACTGAGGAATACATCAGGCTTGCTGTGCAAAGGTGTTAACCTTAGAACCTAACACTTTCAGGATTTGTTAAGGATTTACTCAGGATATATAATATAAACCTCAGTAGACTCTCTTAAACACATGAATGTCTCCTAACACACAGAGTACTCAGGGAGATAACAGCGTGTTGTAAAAATGTGTGATGAAAGCTGCAGCTCAGTCTGGATCAGCTCCAGCGGTTCACTCGGCTGCTATCAGCATGTTTAGATACCACATCCTTCAGTGGATTCACACCCCGACACCCTCTGTAAACACACTTCTACACATTCCTGTGTGTGTGTGTGTGTATGTACATGCAGGAGGCTGCACTGCACGAGGAACTACATCCATCTGAACTTGTTTGTGTCGTTCATGCTGCGAGCCGTGGCCGTGCTGGCCAAGGACACGCTGCTCTTCTCAGCCGATGAAAACACAGACTGCAGCACGCAGCCATCGCTGGTGACTTCATGCACACACATTTATTTTTACCGTTCCTAAGAGGAGCTTTCCTAAAATGAAAATAGACAGTCTAATATGATCTAATACAATTAGTTTGAACCATATGTATATGTATTAATATGTATATGTGTGTTCGTATATATATGTAAATATAAACACATACAGTGTACATATATGTATATAGATATATGCATGTGTATATGTATATACTACGGACAGTATATATGTGAATATATTGTATGTATGTATGTATATATATATATGTACAGTATGTATATGTTAATATAGATATACAAGTATGTGTATCTGTATGTATTTATATACAGCACATAACTGTTTAGCTTGCCTTTTTATTTCTTCCTATAGGGCTGCTTGTATTCACTTTACTACTTTATTATTTTTATTCTTTTCTAATTTAAATTATTGTTATATTATTATTATATATATTTGTTTATGTGTACTATGGAGGGGCCTACCACTGAATTTCATTGTTCAAATCTGTATAATGACAACAGTTCCTTCAAGCTTTACTGTGTTCTCTATAAAAACCAGGAGAATCTTTGTCTTAGTATCTAAATTCAATATTTAATTATTTGTCTTTTTGATTCATGTCTTAAAAAACATTTATCATTACATTATTTATCATTACATTATTTATCATTACATTCAGCTTTACTGTTGTTGCATGTGAGTGTAATAAAAACAAATATGTTGTTGTAGGTGGGCTGTAAGGCCAGTCTGGTGTTCTTCAACTACTTCATCATGGCCAACTTCTTCTGGCTGCTGGTGGAGGGTCTCTACCTGCACACGCTGCTGCTCGTCATCCACAACTACTCCATCCGCCTCTCCATCTACATGCTCATCGGCTGGGGTAGGCAGCTCAACAGCAGGAGCTTGGGTCTTTCTTAGTGTGGTTCTGAATATTTCTCTAACCACGTTGATGGCTGAAGTCAGGGGATTGTACAGCCTGTTTCCAGCAGGGCTAGCACGATTTGTAGAAAGTATTTGAAATCATGGAAATTATTCACAAATATTCTGCAACGCATACCAATATTTTAATTTTTCTTTAATTATATATTACAATAGTTTAGTTATTAATAGTTAATTAGGGCCCAAGCACGAAACGTGTGAGGTCCCTGTTGTTAAAACAGTTATTTATATGACTTCAGTGTAAATGCTCAGATCTGTACCAAACTTTACATGGTCAATAACAGTCCCATCCTGAAAACATCTACATGAAAATATTCACTCAACGTCATAGGGCCACACACTGGTAAAAGGAAGTAAGCTGTTTCTAACAAAACATGGCCGCCTCACACCTCGACGCACTACACGTGCAAGGGCCCGCCCAACGCTGCTTGTTGTTATTTTTCTTGTCTTGATCACTTTTTATATGATGTACAGTACATCATATATAATAGTACATATATAATAAGATTTAAAAGATTAAAGCCACTATATGTAGAACCGTCTGACTTTATTTCCCACCAGTGGCAGCATCAGAAAAAAAACTAACGGCAACTAACAAAGGGAACACACAGACTAAAATACACAAGTGATAACAAGACACAGGTGAAAAGAGAGGCCCAGACAATCAAACAGGCGGGGAAACACACAAAGACAGGAAGTAAAGTAACACAAGACTGATGAGGAAGGATGCTTTCAAAATAAAACAGGAAATAATAAACAAAAACCATGACAAATATGAAGTTATAGCCAGCAGCTTGTTAGCTTAGTCTAGCATAGACTTGAAACGGGAAAACAGCAATCCTGGCTCGGGCTAAAGGTAAATTTATCCTCCTACCAGCAGCTCTAAAGCCCACTAAGTTATATGTTACACTTTGTTTGTTTGATTTGTACAAAAAAACAAAACAGTAGCTGTTTCCTTTTGTTACTTTGTGCCAAACTACGCTAACTAGCTGTAGCTTCATATTTACCACACGGGGACATGAGAGTGGTACCGTACAAAAACACTCACGTACATTGACACGTGCACAGACAGACAGACAGACATCATCATGCTGGTGAAGCAGATCAGTGTATTGCAAGAAAGGTCTGGTCTTAAACAGTCTCCTGGCCTCTCAGTCCCGTTCTGTCTCAGCTGCTGCCACCTTCTTCCACCATCCATCACCACTTAACCAACGCTTCCTCTTACTAATGCATTTCCATTTAGCGCCAGCTGTTTCATGTACCTGTGTGTGTACAGTAGTCGTCATAGTCCCTGCGTGGCACCTTGTGTGGATGTTCTGTGTCTGGCAGACGGAGAATCTAAACAGACTTTTCTCTCCTCTGTCTCCCAGGAATCCCTTTTGTTTTCATGGTTGCGTGGATCATATGTAGGATAAACATGGAGGACACGAGGTGAGTGTGCACGTCCTGCTCTGCACAGCTGCAAAATGTTTGCATTTTAATAAACAACCTTCTTGTTTATTAAAATGCAAACACTGTTGTCAGCCACTAGAGGCTGACAACCTCTAGATTTCATGAAATTATATTAAGTGTTGCTTCCCTTCACAGTATAAATAGGATTACAGTATGAGTATGTTCATATGTCTGAAAGGGATCTTTGATTCTTTGTAATATTATCTTCACTTTTCTTCTAAAAAAATCTTGCTAACTTGAACCTTTGCTAGCATGAAAGTACTCTCATTCGTTCGTGGCTCCCACATGAATCAGATTTACTCGCTCACCCTTTTGCCTGCCTTCCAGTTTGACAACCACTAATTTAACAAATGAGGCCCATTGGTTTCCCCAAAAGAAAACATTTTGGAGAACCTTTAGGCAACAGACATTTGGTGTTTTGAGTCGGTCCTTTGATGGTTGTTGAAGGCATTATAGCAGCTTGTTAGTTTACTTATAGAGGAAGCCAGCTCTGGTTTTACAAATACTAAAAAACTATAAAAACTTCACAGATTTATTTTCTTATTTTCAGGTGTTGGGAGATGAACGACAACCCTGTCCCCAATAGACTGATCGACTGGCCCATCGTGGCATCTGTCATCGTGAGTTTTGCTCCAACATCTTATCATAATACTGTAATTTTTTAAAGAGTTCAGTAACTTTTTTTATTTAAAAATGCACATTTTATATTATCAACTAAAGCACTTCATTGCAGTTGGAATTTATAATAATAACTATAACTATAAATAAATAACTATGAAACATATACAGTAGATTCACAAAACTATATAACAATTAACATTCAGCATCTTTTTTTGTGTGACTTTAATCAACCAGCTGTGTAAACTCACAGTAACATCTGGAGACATTTTAATAACTTAATATGATATCTCAGTGCATGTGCGTCGGTCTTTGGCATCACATCTAAAAACAGAGATAACGTTTAGATAACGTTCAATCATTCAGCAGTTTGTTTCTAAACATGTTTGCAAGCAGATGATCAGTCAGAACACCAAAGCAAGATGTGGCGCTTGTGCCGCGTAATAATGACGTATGTCAATGTCAAAACACTTTTATAAAAACATTATACATTAATATTTTCTACTTTCAATTACTTACAACATCTGCCCTGATCATAATACCCAATAATCATTCATTTTCAGAATTTAACCCTTTAAATGACAGTTTGTTTACACAGTGCCATTGTTTTTCTTAATGGCGAAAACAAAAAAAAGTTTTAAAAAATGTTTAATGAATGCAAAGTGGATGTTTTAGAGCCTGGTATATGTCAAAGATCATGCACTTTTTTGTGCTGTGTCATATTACAAAGAAATATAGCTCTGGAGATGTTAAGGGACAAAAGAAAACTGCAATAAAACAATTATACATTAATATTATTTTCCACTTTCAGGGACTTAAATCTTTTGACCAACATCTGCCCTGATCATAACACCAATATCATATCATGTATTTTTCATCATTTAACCCTTTTAATGCCAGTTTGTTTACATGATGCCACTGTTTATTTAAAAATCAGTTCTCTAAAAAGAAATTAAATTTCGTTGTTGTACTTTTACGATTTCACGTATTCTAAATTAGATCTTTGTGGTGTTGAAGACAGACATTTACTAACGGGGCTCTTTCTCCCTGTTTTGTGTTTCTCTACAAGATCAACTTCATTATCTTCATCAGCATCATCCGCATCTTGGTGCAGAAGCTGCGCTGCACTGACGTCGGAGGAAATGAGCAATCGCAATACAAGTACGCTCCCAGAACACCAGGACATATTTTACCTTTTATTTATTTGATTTTTACATTACGTTAGGCAACATGGTGATAGCGCAGTACCTAAGAACACATACTTTTGGCATGGGAGACGTGGTTTGATTCCCGCTGCAACACATCCACCATGTGTTTCTGAGCAAGACACTTACCCCTAGTTGCTCCAGAGGCGTGCGACCTCTGACACATATAGCAATTGTAAGTCGCTTTGGATAAAAGCGTCAGCTAAATCACTAATTAATTATCAATATAAATA